AAAAAAAATGATACCTCCACCCCCAGGACTCCTGGTTCAGCATTGGACATGTTTTCTTCAGCCGCATGGGGATAGATTGGCACGCCTGGCACTGGCGTTTTTGGACAGGTCGTCGTCGTGTGCGCCGTTGCGTGCGGGAACCCGAAATTTCCGCAGCGAGACGGAGGTCCAGGATCTTCCGAGTGTAGCGGAGTTTTTTTTTGATCCTTACATTTTAATAGGAATCCCCATCTGATGATTTTCCGGATGTAGCTTTAACTTTGGGGTGGTTGGATTTAGCGGATGTAGAATCCCCAGGTTCTAAAATGCAAGGGAAGTTTACGGTGGAAATTGCACAAAAGGCTCAACTTCCAACCCTTCAACTGTGGGAGATACCCGCGCATCTGCTGCAGGATTATCGATTATCATGTCACTGAGACTGTGCACCTTCGGGCACAACGGCAGCATCACGATAGGCTATACACTCTGGTAATTTGACAGGTTGCTATTGAAAATTGCCATTTATAGTAGATTTACCCATTGAAACTTGTGATTTCCATAGTTGTGTCAATTTACCAGAGGGTAAATTATGCAGACCTCAAGTCGCAACCAGACTGCAAGAGCAATCCGCCGGTGCAGGATTTCGCAACCATCCACAGAATGTCCCATCCAAATAAGACCCACGAGACATTGAGCATTTGCATCTCTGGTCTCCAGACACAGCTGTTGAGGTCGCACGGTCTTCTCCGGAAAATTCTGAAGAGGACGACCGGCGCATGCTGATCCTCGAGGAATTTACCCTCTGGTAATCAAGCGGTTGGGCAACCCCCTTTAAATGGAGGCTCTAGTGGGAAAATATGGAAAAATAATCTATCAGTGGGCCATTTTCCAACACCATGTTTGATTACCGGAGGGTACATCTTGCGCGTGTCACATTGTAAGTGTTTCCTTTGTGTTGTGAAGATTGACTGGGAGTGGCTCATGTTTTTTCAGTTGACCAAAGGTTCAAGGGTAATCAAACTCAACTTATGTTTCTGGCATGACTGGTGCAACAGACAAGTACCAAACACGAATCAGATGGGTGGAAATTGTGATGGATGAATGAAAGCGAAGTATTCATTCCTCCCCTTTGGCAGCTCACATGCCTTGAATTTGTGTCTGCTCAGTACCGGACTGGAGTTCTTTCTGTAATCAAGGTTTTGAGCTATAGCAACTTAGCAACCTGACAAAGAACAGTATTTGTCAAAGTATTTGTCCGAAAGAGTGCTAAAGTTACAGTTCTATTATCTTTTCGCGAGTCGCTTTACCAGCTATCATCTCACCACGCGCAGGATTGATTTTCGTGTCTTGTACCTGCTTGTCTGCTTGTTTGGTCTTCCATCGCGATGTGCTAGATTGATTCTTGGATGTATTTAGGTCATGAAGAGTATACGTGATCCATGGTGGCCTACATACCAACGCGTCCAAAGCCAGTGCTACTTTTGCAGAGTTCACCCATCTGATTTTCCTAATCCAGCATACAGATCCTCAAACAAATCGTACTTTTATCTAGTGTCATTGTTGGCAGGTCTATTTTTTTAAAAAATCCTTTAGTGGGGCAAAACCTGTTTTTTTAGGCCATCTTTCCCAGGTGTGTTTGACAACGCCAGGAAATCGATGATTCAGAGGCCTCGGCGATGGGAGAATCGGCCGTGTGTCGTCTTTTCCCGGAGAAGTGCTGACTCGTGTGTCTCCGAAAAAGCGAGTCACCAGGTTTCCCAGGTTTCCCAGGTTTCCCAACCTTTGAGGATCTAACAAATCCCATAGGATCCATGACGGATCCATGTATGCTATATATGGTAACATTTACCATCAATATACCCCCAATGTTAGCATATATACTAATATATACCATACATGGATCCTATGGGAATGTAGTTGAGAGATGTTGAAATGAATTTTCGATTGGTTTTTCACCAACTCACCAGCACTTTTGTTCGGCATTTTTCTAACCCTTGCAACTATGGTGGTTGCACCTCTAAACGCCAAATCAAACCGAATGATATTCGCGTGGTTTGTTTCCAAGGGCCCAGATGCTTGAGATCAAAAAATCGCTTGGGGGCCATGTGGCTCCCGACAAACCATTGGTTGGTTGGGTACCCGGAGGGGTTGGAAAGTCATCGAGCTAAATGGGTGGTTTGAAACAGAAGCCCCCGGTGGCTGATTCTGAGAGGGTACCCGTGTTGGGAAATTTCCCTGGCTGACTTGGGAATTACCTACCTGTGCACCCGTTGGTGAACCATTATCAAATCGTGATCATTCGTGATCTATCTATGAGGAAGATCTGTTATTGCCCACTTCCAGATTGATTCGGCAATGGTTCCCAAGATTGATCATAGGTATAGGCATTATAGACCCCCAATGTAGCGAGTCTTGAAGGATTTGGGGTTTGTCTGAAAATAGGCTACCCCCAAATAACGGATGATGTAAATCATGAAAATCCCTTGAAAAAAGCGCCTAAAGTGGGTCACTTCCGATTTTTTTCGGGTAGACCCAGGGATGACTCGTTTAAGGACGCAACAAAAAAGTGGTTTGAGCTGTGAAGTGCCCCTGTCTGTAGAAGCCTCTGAAACTCGGCCAACTGAGATCCAGGGTTTAAACTATATCCCATAGGATCCATATGTATGGTATATATGCATTATATATGCTAACATAAAGGGGGTATATTGATGGGATCCATGTTACCATATATATAGCATACATGGATCCTATGGGTATGGAGGTTTCTTGAGTCATGGGGGATCCCCAGCCGGAAAGCCATGGTCGTTTCAATAAGTCATGGGTCGTTTTTTTCTGGTTGGTGCTTTGGAACCATGGAACCTTCATGACTTTCCATATATTGGGATATTGGGAATAATAACCCCAAGTGACTAACTCATGTTTTTCAGAGGGGTAGGGCTCAACCACCAACCAGTATTTCATGATTTGGATGACTGGGGGTAGCCCTCCGAAAGGGGATTGTTGGCCTTTGGTCGAGTGGGGTCATCCAGACTCCAAATCAGACTGTAACGTTTATCTCAAAGTCTCATCCTGTTTTATTTGTATGTATATATATATATATATACAGCATCTCTATATATATATACACCCTTAAAAATTATCCCAGCATTACATCCCATTGATTATCATATCCCAATCCCATCATATCCTTATCAAACGGAGAAGGATGATGATATTTGCAGTGCTGACTCTCCACTGGAAAACTGGATATACATCGAGTCTACCCTATTCCAAATGTTGTCCAAATCTGTAGATGTTGTTACTCCACATCCCAACTTTGGGTGTCAACTTTTTCTAACCTAGCCAAACCATGGATATGTTCATCATGCACTATAGGTCAATCTATACATTAGTCAATTAACCCTGTAAAGCACAAATGCCCCATGGTGCTGGAATATCAAATCACGTACCCAAAAAGATTGCCTCCATCATGTAGGTAAATATACCATGGAGAATGGGGAACCCTTACTTGGGGGTGCAGTTCAGGTTGACCCCTATAACTTTGCCTATAACTGTGGTTGAAATAATGTTATAAAACCACTTAGGTCACTGGAACTGCACTTCCAAGTAAGAAACTTACAGGAAAAAAACACACATTTCATGGGAAGATCATGGAAAACCCATAGTTTTCTGTGGAGTTTCATCTTAAGAACACAAGGTGTCCCCCAAGTTATAGCTTGGTTTAGAAACAGTAACTAGTTCAATATATCTACCATAAACCCAAACGTTAGTGGAATTATGTTCACCAACTTGGTGATTGCGAACTGGGCACAAATGAATTCATATGTCGGATGTTTGTTTTGTATGATTTTACCTTCACCATTATAAATGGGTATGTATCTTACGGGATAAACCAAGTTAGCTAAAAAACTGGGGCACCACCTTGTAGTTAATTCACCTAGTTGTACACTAAACCAACTTACCTCACCTTTTGTTTTCATGGGAAAATCCTTGGTTTCAGATTTTCATCTTAAGAACCAGACGGGATCACACAGCTGTGAACCATTCGATCCAGATGCCAGGTGCGCGATCAGCTTTCAGTGCAAGCCCGTACCATTCTAAGCCAGGCGGCTAAGGGCCGGGCGCATGCCGTCGAAGGCCTTTTTTTTGGGTGGGGTGCCAGGGTGCCAGATGCTGAAATCTATGGTAAAATCATGTCAAATCCCTTTTTTTTTACAGTGACTGAGGGCTTTAACCGGCAAATAGGGGATATCATTGCAGAAAAGGTGCTAAAGAAATTTGGGGATTTCATTGACTCTGTAGTACTGTACCTATTTCATGTTGATTTGATTGTGGGATATGTTGGAAAGCCGATTGAATTTGGTTCCACATGCAGGTGGAAACCATGATGGCCTGGCCATCAATTGGAGGGGCACATCCCCTTACACCCTAAAAAATAGGCCTGATTTTTTTCTAAGATTTGTTTGTACCTCCAATAAGTCGGTCTCTGTTGCCATGGCCGTGGGATTCCAAGGTTTGGAACGGAGACTGAAAGTCGTGGAGCAGCGCTCCCAAGCCGCGCCGGCCGGCGAGGAAGCCTGGAGAGATGGTCAGCTGATGAAAAAACGGGGGAGACACCATTTAAAAAAGAAACATTAGTTAACCATAATGGGTGATATAATAGGTGATTAGTTAATGTCATGGTTAAAAATATAGTTAACATGTTAATGTTAATGTTTACATGGGTGATGTGTGTATATATATATCACTGTTGGTGCTCTGACAGTTTGTGAGATTGGCCCAGAGAAGATAAATGGTAGGTTTTGAGACCATTGAATCCTTTCTGATGGGCTAGAAACCATCAACATTTGGGATAGTAATAAGATGTATATAATGAGGAACACTGCTGGTGAATGGTGCATTTAAAATCGATGGTGTTTAGGCTGTTTTGATGAGGGACATGTTTCATACCCGCGCATACCCAGCCACAAATCAAGTTGTGGATCATGCGGAAAACTTGGTACAACTGGCGTCCTGGTCTTGGGGTCCCTCATTGATCATTACAGGTTGGGACCCCCAAACCATAGGTAAGTTGCTTTAGCGAATTCTATGGTTTATGGTAGATGTCTATTGATGGTGGGATGAATCTAAACCAACAAGCATCACTGGGAGACACCACCTGTAGCCTTTGGCCATTGGAGGAAGTGGACACTGCCACCGGGCATAACTGGGCATGGGCGTAGGGGCTTCGTCCCTGCAGCTTCATCGCTCAAGGGCGAATTTTGGCCAAGATAAAATGCTCATCCGGTCTTGCAAGTAGATTTCACAATGCAAGACATCTTCAAACATGGCCTTTACAAGACGAACCTCAAAACAACAACTGATTTATTTACTGAGAAACAAAGACCGGTTCTTGACAGGTAGCATATCGAAAGCAGCCACAGCTGTAGAAATTCGAGAGAGAGAGCGAGAGAGAGATGTAATTCTTTGAGCCATCACCCCTGTCATACTGCGATCCCATGTTGCACGTCAAGCATCTCATGATAAGAAGTCTTGATGATAAGCGGTGTACGGATGTAGATACTTTGTGGACACCACAAGCCTCAGAACTATCATGAACTATCTAGCTTCCGATCTTGAATATCTCCCGATTTTCGCAGCTGTTTTGAATGCTGCCATGGCTCCTCTTCTCAATCTCTTCGAGAGTTTGGGTCCCAGAAACCCAGGAGATCGGTCCCCACTCGCCGCGCTGTCACTGGACCCAAAGAAATGGAGATATCAAAGTGGAGATATCACGTCCCACCCATCCGATTGGGCTGAATTTGATGTCAACCTGGAACAAGGTAATGATGGTTTCGTGCGGCTCAAAGATTGCCGATAAAATGATCAATTGGTGGATCCCAAATTCAATGGAATTGTCGTTGTTGATCATTGACTTAGAAAAAAATAATGCCATCTCATCTTGTCAGTAACTTAATGACTATAGAAATAATAATAATAATAATATGAAACAATTATCAGTCACCACTAGCATCCTCCCAAAGATCCGGTGACTGCTTTGCCGTGAGTTGGGGATTGGAACACTACTTTCCACTCTCAGATGGAGCGAATATGAGGGTGGACATGCGAGTCTGGGGATGGTAACTTCAGGTATGGGGCCCAATGGCCCAATGAAATCACTGTCACTTGCTTTAATATCTTTGATTCACTTAGTCAGAAATTCTTGGAAATTGTGTGTTCCAAGTTCCAATCCAATGTTATGTTGGTTACAATGCTCCAAAACCATGTGGCCCCTTAGTGACTGGAAGCCTCTGTAAACCTCTGTTGGGGCATCCCAACTAAAGGCTTCGGACTCCCGGTTTGCGACATGGCAAAAGAAATTCACCCATTTATAAATGTTTTTTCCCATTGAAACCTCCATTTCGAGGGCATTTTACATTGGTATGTTTGATGATGGCAGGGTAGTTGAACGGTCTTGCCCGCTTTAGGTGTTCGAACTGATTACTTGTTTTGTTCCTGGAGTGATGTTTAGCTATACTGGAATTTCGAAATGTATGTGCAGTTCGTCAAACAAATTCTCATGTGTCTAGATTGTAGAAAGGTTGTTGATAAATGCATGTAATAGTTTTCTCATACATCATTATATTATGTATATATATATATACATATGCTATATATGATATATGTTTTTAATGTTTAATAGATTATGTTTAATAGATAATTGCCATATATGCTATATGTATGTATGTTTAATAGATATATGTATGTGTATATAAATATAATTCCATGGGCAAATTCAGGCGCCAGAAATTTTCTGCCCTCGAGGCGGCAACCATTCATGGCTCCAGCAGCTGACGGTAGATCCTGAGTGCGTCGCTGGGCGGTTGAGCTTTGGAAAACGATGGGGATTTCATGGGACTTACAAGGAAATCATAGGGATTAATAGGGACTTATAGGGATTGAGAGGAATCGGGAGTTAGTAGGGATTTATCATTTCACGTTTAAGGACTTAGTAGGGATTTGAAGGGATTAATGGGGATATCAGAGGGAATCATAGGGACTTATAGGGATATAGGGATAACATGAAATAGACTTTCGGATAAACAACTGGGTGGCCATGAAATGGCTATGGATCAACACTGAATACCGTCATGGACCCATCCCCAAATACCGGGTTTGTGGTTTAGACTACCCTCTGGTAATGACTAACAGGTTGCTATTGAAAATGGCCATAGAAATAGTTGATTTACCCATCAAAAATGGTGATTTTCAACAGTTATGTTAGTTTACCAGAAGGTACTGTTTGTGTTCCTTTCTATTTATGTTGAGAAGGAAGGTGAAACCACCACACTGCTTGGGTGGGGTAAGTGGGGTTTTCAATCCTGAATGATTTGGATTGATCTAGGCAAAATGGAAATTTAAACGATTTAACGATCTATGTCGATATTTGTGTAAAGGAAACATATATAATATGATATAATCCATTTCTATGGAGCACCAAAAAATTGAACCAATGTAAATATATCCTATCAATCCTATCAATTCATATCACAATATCGTAATCATGACCTACTTATATATACAGATATATACCTGGTAGTGGGGGCGGACTTGCCCCGTTTATGTTTTTTCGTTGCCTTGGTCCAGTAGTAACTCGTGAGTTGGCTTGTCCTGCTTCGGGGCCTGGAGCGGTTTTTGATTTTCAAACTTACTCTTCAAAGGCAAAGTATCCTACAATGTGGGGCCCCAAAAACGATAGCTAAGTATAGATAAGTTGGTTTATAAATCCAATAACTATGGTTTATGATACTTATAACTATAGTTCATGTTGGCTACTGATTGGTGTGCCCCCCTCCTCAACAATTTTAGGCTACTCAGTCGGCTACTCAATAACTCGGCATTTTTTGTGACACCTCCCAATTTTTTTTAGCAGAGTGGACTTAAGTAAGGGTTTCAATTGACATCAATCTACTTTCAATTGATTTTCCTGTTAAACATCAAAGAAATTTATTGATAAGAAAGGATTTCAATTGACATCAAATTACTTTCAATTCATTTGAATCTACTTTCAAATGATTTTCCTTTTGCACCTCAAAGAAATCGATTGATAAGAAATGATTTCAATTGAAACAAATTTACTTTCAATTCATGTGAATCTACTTTCAATTGATTTTCCTTTTAAATCCAAACAAAAATCGCCCCAAAAGTTTTTGTGCACAATAGGGTACCATCCAAACAATTACATCATTGAGGATCTGGGTCACTCATGGGGTACCCCCTTGGAAAAAATGTTTGGGTGCTGTTTTTAAATAATGGTTTAATAAGACACCTAATTATTTGGGAAGCATTTCGTTTTCAAGGCTTTAACATGGATATGGCGTTCTAAAGTAAATGGACAAGCTTTACCCAAAGAAAGGTGGATAAAAGGTTTTGTGTTGTTTTCATCCCAACGGCTTTTGTGCACAATAGGGTCCTATCCAGACAATTACATTATTGAGGATCTGGGTCACTCATGGGATACCCCCTTGAAAAATTGTTTGGGCGCTGTTTTTTTAATAATGGTTTAATAAGGCATCTAATTATTTGGGAAGCATTGCGTTTTCAAGGCTTTAACATGGATATGGTTTTCTCAAGTAAATGGACAAGCTTTACCCAAAGAAAGGTGTATAAAGGTGGAGAAAGCTCCTCCTGAAAAAAAAACATGGATCTGAGAAAAAACTTTCCACAATAGAGCCCCACCCCCGCCATCCACAAGATACTTAAGAATTTTGGAAAACAAATCCACAATAGAGGTCCATCACACTAATCAGTATACTACATTAATGGAGTTTATAAACCAATTTATAACTGGGGGCCCACATTGTAGTAATTAAGGCTGTTTCGACTTGACCTTTTCTATACACACTGTCATTGAAGCTACTCTCAGAATTCTCAGATCAGATTCAGGTAAGTTACCATGATGAACATTGAGAAAGACTTCACGGTTGTTGGCGTTAATCGTGTTTATCGTGTTGATGTTTCCATTTGAAATGCTCCCAGTTGCATCGTTTTTTTCTCAGTTGAAACACCAAGCCGGTGATAAATAATCCCAGGGCAACCACCATTTGTTCATCTAGGGATCCCTATAGGCCTCATCCATTGACTAATGTGCCGAATTGCCGAGAACCAGCTGTCTGAGAAGTTCTTTATTTCTGTCATGTTCTGTGTTTGTGGCTTGGTTTGTAGGTATATAAATATAGTTGGTCGATAGTTTGTAGATAGTTAGTCAATAAGTCAATACCTAAAAGAGTTGCTAAAGAGTTGCTAAACTATCATAGTTTACAGTATAGCAGTTACTGATACAATGTAAACTAGATATCAATAGTTTATATACATCACTATTAATTTATAGTTGGTAAACTGACTATGGTGAAATAGTGCCTTTCCGCACCATGTTCGGCCTCGCTTCGCCCAAGGACAAGTACCAGCCCAACAAGCGCAGTCGTCAGGTGAGATCAGGCGTGGGAAAAACCACTCAGCAGTAAAACGTTTGCTACTTGGTGGCTCATCCCACCGATCGTAAGTAGGTTAAAAACCCCCTACAAGTCG